ATTGTTATTTTTTTTATTCATTATAATAACCCTATTATTCTCTCTATTAAAAAAAAAAGGTTTCTCTACCTATGATGGCAAGAAAAAAATATTGAAATTTTAAAGAGGGAGATAAGTGGAGTAGAAATCACATTAGGTGGCTAAACCATCATAGCTCTATTTATGTGCTTTATACTTTTATAGCTCGTAGTTATCACCATTTTTATTTTTGTATTCGATCGAGTTATTTATGTGCTTTATTCTTTTATAACTTTATTCTTTTATTTTCTTAACCCGTAATTACAAATCGTAGTTATGCACATTAGGTGAATATAACCCTAATTTGGAGGTTGGGGTGTTGTAAAAGTAAATATAAAGATTATAGACACACACATAAGAACTTATTAAACTTTATGTACATTCACTTCATAGGATTTAATATAAAGGATTTGAGAAAAAAATTATTTATTTATTTATTTATTATATGCCTTTTTCATCATGTTAGATAGAAAAAGATATTTGCTAATATTTTGTTTCAACAACATTATTTTGATTTGAAAGAAAACTTTTTAAGATTCAATTTTTTTTTTTAAAAAAACAATCCAATTTTTTTTTAAGAAAAAACAATCCAATTGAAAACTAAAATTTATTTAGATTCGTATATAGGCACGCATTAATAAATTGTTAGCTTACATAAGCTAGCATATATACTTATCAATGAATTAAGAAAATAAATAATTTAATATAATATTAGAAATAAATTTCAATATCATAGTAAAATATAATTTATTGTATTTTGTTCACTAAAATATTTAGCTCTTGGATAGCTTGCAATTTCTACATTCTTAAAGCTTACAATATATTATTTTATTGTAATGTGTGTTGACATTTATAATACATAAATTTTTAAACTAATTTTATTATACATGAAGAGATGCATATGATTATTGTGCATGCTTATTATTTGATTTAGCCTTACCTTGCAACATTAATATTAATCCTCCTTTTAATCATAAAATCATGCTTGTGTGTTGGGGGACTTACATGCATTTTTATAGTTGCTTATGTTATAGGTCAATGTATGTTTCCATCTATATTAGTGAAAGTTATGAAAATGCAAAGATATTATTGTTCTTTAGAGAGTTCCTTTTTGGGGTTGGTAGCTTTCGAGCATAAGACCATTCAGTGAGAGAGAAAAAGCCCAACCCCGGGCCACCGTCTCATCTACGATCTTTAGATTGTTAGTTCTATACAAGTGAAGTATATGCATGCTGAGTGTCATTCCTATTTTTATTAATTTAAAATGTTATAGATTCTTGGATACAATGGACATATAATTTTCTATTAAATGACCATTTCATTAGAATGCAATATAGCTCTTTCAATCGTTCAGAGAGATCAATTCCACCATTTTTACTCTCTTGGATGAGAATCAACTTTTTTATGGGGCAATGGTGCAATACTTCATTTTAATTTATTCATACATGCACATTTAGGGGTGGTCATCGTAGGAAAGATATAATAAGGGGTGAAGGTGATTACTTGTCATGACATATATAGGTAAATGAGTGAGTTTTTTTTTTTTCGTGGTTGGTAGTTGATTATTACATGGGCGCCGAGAAGTATAGGAAATGGGAACTAATTATAAGAGGTGTAGTGGAGAAAATGTATTTCTATTTTTTTTCTAAGTTTATTTAAGGGTTTCATTGTCTAAGTTTATTTAAGGGTTTTATTGCAACCTTTAATCAAGGTTTGAGTTGAAGTAAAAAAAAAGTTGATTGTCTTCGAAAAAATTGGGTAGGATATATAATTTCTCAAGGTAGGTGGCAGCTTGGGTTGAATGAATGTAGGGCTCTAATTATATATGATTTTAAGGAGTGTTTGAAAGCTTGAGGGCTTAATGAAGGCTTTTAGGTGTCGGTAGAGGGGCAGATGAGAGAGAGAGAGAGAAGGAGATGTTATAAAAAATGACGACAATAAAGTGAAAAAAACCAGATTGAAAAATTGCTGACCATAAAATAACACAGATTTACGTGGTTCGGCTAATTTGCCTATGTCCGTGGAACTGCAGAGGATTTTAGTACTTCGAGAAAATACGCTATCGAGCACCTCGACATTTACAAAAAAAAATTATTTTTTTTTTCTCTCTCCCTTCCTCTCTCTCTCTCTTCCTCTCTCTCTTTATTCCTTTCTCTCGCTTAGCTCTCCACCGTAAGCTTTTCTTATAAGCTTTGCCGAGCCAAGCTTAAGGAGTAGAAGGATTAAGGAGATTGCTTAAGAGGGATTAAGAGGGCATGACTTAGATCTTATGAAAGGCCAAAATAGGCTATTTAATAAAAACATGGGAGAGGTAGGTGGAGAGAGGTAGGTGGGGGAGAGGTGGGTGAGACGCGGTAGATGAGGTGTGGTAGGTGAGGTAGGTAAGTCACATTTTTCATATATTTGACAGTTCTCCCACTTGGAGACTGGGACACTGACTGCACCACCTGCAAGTTGCATCATCTGTTGGTTGTACCAACCTTTTTCTTCAAACATGATATCCTTCACCTCTGCAACTGAACCCAACCTACAGATTGCATCATCTGTTGGTTGTACCAACATTTTTTTCT